ACAATCTGGAATGATAAGTATGCCCCTTGCCATTTCCTTCACTGTGCAGGGAAAGCAAGCCCCGGACTGGCAGACTGGATATACCTGGGGTTTGCGTTGGTATCTATATGGGACAGACAGGGGAGTAATCTTTACAATCAGATGTAAGGTGGCTCCGGTTAATCCACAGGCCATAGGCCCTAACCAGGTTCTTGCTGATCAAAAGCAGCCTAGCTTACTCATGCCCAAGGCTGATACCAGGCCTCTGAACCTGCCTAAAACCACAGCCGCTCCTGCGCCTACAGAAAGCACTCCCAAACCCCCCTCCTTGGGTCCCTCCCTTGAAGGCACGGGAGATAGAATATTAGCCCTAATCAAAGGGACATATGCCACTCTGAATTTAACTCGCCCAGATAAGACTAAGGAATGCTGGCTTTGTCTGACTCCGCAACCTCCCTATTATGAAGGCTTAGCGGTTATGGGCGAATATACAGATCAGGCCACAGCCGAGGCTCTTTATGGGACAGCCATGCAACATAAATTGACCATCTCAGAAGTGTCTGGAAAGGGGCTATGTATAGGTAACGTCCCCACCACGCATCAAGGACTATGCAATGCCACTGAGCCTTTGCCCCAAAGTGGCCGCTACTTGATAGCCCCCAATGGGACATATTGGGCATGCAACACTGGATTAACCCCTTGTGTCTCCACCACGGTACTAGGTGCCACCATTGACTATTGTGTTCTGATAGAATTATGGCCTAAGGTAATTTACCACCCCTCTGACTATGACATGATAAGTACTGGCCGCATTAAGAGGGAACCTATCTCCATCACTACTGCCATCCTACTAGGAGGACTAACCATGGGAGGCATAGCAGCAGGAATAGGAACCGGTACTGCCGCACTGCAGGAAACTAAACAGTTCCAACTCCTACAACAAGTAATGCGTGCAGATATTCGGTCTTTAGAGGAATCTGTCGCTGCCCTGGAAAAGTCTCTGTCCTCCCTGGCAGAAGTAGCCCTCCAAAACAGAAGGGGACTAGACCTCTTATTTTTACAGCAAGGGGGAATTTGTGCGGCCCTTAAAGAAGAATGCTGCTTTTACGCAGACCATACCGGAGTGGTAAGAGATAACCTGGCTAAAATAAAAGAAAGACGCCAAAAGTACCACCAATTAATTGAGTCCCAACAGGGATGGTTTCAGAATTGGTATAACAGGTCCCCTTGGTATTCGACTCTCATATCCACCATTATGGGACCCCTGATCATTATATTGCTGATTCTGATGTTCGGGCCATGCATCTTAAACAGATTAATCCAGTTTATAAAGGAAAGGTTATCAATTGTACAATCACTGGTTTTGACTCAACAATACCAGCAGCTAAAGCAAAGGGATTTCGAGATGGCAGAAACCTCTGAATGAAAGATTTCATTCAGTTACAAGAGCAATGGGGGAATGAAAGACCCCGGCCCAGCACAGGTGGCTGAGGCCTATGGAAAATTCCTTTCCCCCACAGCTCAGCCGAAGAGTCATTTTTGATCAGAAGGAAGCTCAGCTCAAGGTCTTTACAGCTGAATAGTCACTACTATCTCTGTCCAGGCAGGACACAGGTGTCTGCTATCTACATAGCGTCTGCATAGCCAGCCCAGCAAGACTGGGCAGGCACAGAGACCTATTGTTCCTCAGATAGGGCCAAGGCCGAGACTTGAGTTCTGAGAGAAACCTCAATAGCCCTCATTCTGAGCCCCCCCGGCCTCATTTATATTGTCCAATCAGGGTCCTGTAACTAGGCTTCTTGCTTCTGTACTCCGCTTTTTGCTATAAAAGGACCCCTGAGTCCCCAGCTCGGGGCGCTCAGCCCCCCAAGACTGAGACGCCCGGGTACCCGTGTGTAAATAAAGCCTCTTGCTGTTTGCATCCAAGGTCGTGTCTCGGTGTTCCTTGGGTTCGTGTCTCCCTCCCCGTGAAAGTCCCCCGACTGGGGTCTTTCATCATCACTACACAAGGGAAATTCTGTCTCAAAGAAAGGAAGGAAGGGGGAGAGAGAAAGAGTGGGAGAGAGGAAAGAGAGAGAGAGAGAGAGAGAGAGAGAGAGAGAGAGAGAGAAAGAGAGAGGGAGAGAGAGAGAGAGGAGACAAATCTACCAAGCTCCTACAATGCTTTAAGCACATTAAACATAGGATCATGATTAGACACAGTTTTATGTATATGGGTGTTTTTCCAGCTTGTATACCTGGTGTCCTTGGACAGAAGGCAGCTTTAAATCCCTTGGACCTGGCATTACAGACAGCTGTGAGATGCCATGTTAATGCGAGGATTTGAACTCGGGTCCTCTGGAAGAGTACATAGCTCTTAACCACCAAGCCATCTCTCTAGGCCCTACAACTGGAGTTTTGAAATATTTTATTGTGCTTATGAATGTGTGTGCATGTGTAGGGCATGTGGAGGTCGGAGGGCAACCTGTGCAGTCACTTCTCCACTTTCGCCACAAAGGTCCCCAAAGGTGGATCAAGACAGTCAGTTATCCAGTGTCAAACATTGGAGAGGAATGGACAGCAATTCAAAGCTGAACTAAATCATGGGGGAGGGTCTTTCTCTTTTTCTCATTGACACAGGATCTCACTGTATAGCTCTTACTGGCCTGAAACTTACAATGTAGACCACACTGGCTCCACATTCACAAATGGAGCCCCTGACGACAGGCCCAGAGGCTGACTCAAGGCATCCTTAAAAGGAGCAAGAGTCATGGCAAAATCCTTTGTCACCGTGATTACCTTTATGGTCACAAGAAAGGCAGTATGAAGGTGCATGAGGCTCTGCTTGGTTTGCTGGGATGTAAAGATATCGACCCCAGCAAGGTTACCTTGGAAGGGAAGGACATCTCCAGCTGTTCATCGCTGTCTGGTTTCCGGTCTCCTTTTAGCAACTGTTCATAAATTTGGACAACAACCTTGGGCCCATCGCTTCTGTGACAGCTATTAGCATGTGCAACTGCACCTCTTTTTTCCAAGATCTGATCGCTTCCTCGATTCTACAGCCAGGGGAAAACGAATAGCCTTGGGAAACTAGGTCACATAGGCAAAAAATACAGTATGCCAGATTAAAGGTACCAGTAAAATATTAGTATGGTTTGTAAGAAGCCTCAGCGGACAGGATAAAATTCCTCCACCAAAGCAACACAGCATAGCACTCAAGCAGTTGGACAGCGAATTATTTTCAGTATGGGGCCCTAGTCTCATTTCCAGCACTCCCTGTTCCCCAAAAGGGCCAAATGAATGCAATGTGTCTCCTGATACCCTGGCTGCTGCTTCAGCACCATGGGGTAGCCGGTGATGTCAAAAGCAGGGAGAAGGCTGTGTCAGCTTGTCCCATGAGTGCTCCAGGACCACAACCGACTCTGGTGGCCTAAGCAGCTGTCGCTGCGTTCTCTCTGGAAAACAACTTTTTTTTCCCTTAATCACCATTTTGTCAAGTCTTTCTAAAACTCTGTGGAATGCAGTTTCAGCGGTAGAATTTTGTTTTGTAATTTATGAGAACATTCCCACAAACTAGAATTACATTGAAAAACATTGAACTGGCATTTGTGAGGGAGTCGTTGGCTGTCATATACTGTTCAGAAGAAAAGATGAGACCACATGGTACACAGAAAAATACCTTGGACAAATTCTGAGGAAAGTATGAAAATCAAATCAGGACTGAAAGTCTCCATTGTTGTCACTCTGCCTCTCTACCAATGCCCCAGCACGACGTGTCATCATCCACACACCCTCAGATCTTACTGTAGCCCCTACAGATGTCACTAGTACCACTATAGAAGGCATCACATGTGACACATTAGGACAAGACAGAACTTTGCTCAAGGTTATCTGACATGCATTACACGGTCACTAAACCATCAGCTGAACGTGTATTTACTGGCATCCGCCACATGTCCAGTCCAGCGTGAGGTACTGGGTGTATGTATAATACAAATGTCTCCAGTCAAAGTGACAGACCTTGGGAAATGAGACCTCTGCAGCAACCAGCAGGATGGTGCGGATCCTACCAAGCCCTCCTAAGTCATGCATCTGCAGGTTGCAAACATTACTGCAGCCTAGGAAGCACAGACTCCCCCAGCTCCCTGGCCCAAGACCAGGAAGTACAAGCAATTCTGCTTGCACAGTGATTAATGTGATGGGGGCATAAAAGACCAGAAGATGCTTCCAGTGGGAAAACTGAAATTTGTTTGTGAAGCAGGGCTAAAAGTGGCAGCATTAAATCTTAAACCATTTCCTGTGAGGTGGATTTTCTTTTTAAAAAATTGGCCACTGTATCATTTTTCTTAGTCACCTTTTCTCTAGCTTACTGGAGGCGTAGTCCGTCCTAGCAACCTCCCATCTGGGGGAAAACAGGATCGAGAGGAAGAGGAGGCTTTGGGACGCTTCCCTTGTGGGTGGAAATACTAGGGGGCAACACCATGGTTGCCCCCTACATGAACCACCATTTGTATAAAAACCTATTAGAGCTCTCTCCAGACTAACAAAACGAGTTGTAGGTCCCTAGAGGGGAGTAGCTGTCATCCCCTGCTTCTAGTAATGAGAGTATTGGAAAGCGTCTGCAAACCTCTGCTGTTCTAATTGCCAGGCAACAGTAGGGCCCTCAGTTCTCTCCGATTAAACCATTCTCACTACAGGGAGAGGAAGTATACCCTATCAAAGGTTCGTCTGGTGACTTCGCTGCAAAAGCTGTTCGCGCCGTCATGAGCTGGATGTAGTCCGATGGTAGACTTGCCTGGCCTGCACTCTGCCCTGGTGCCCAGAGGGATAGGGACTGGGGGGAAATGGGTTTCTTCTGTCCTAGTGTTTCTGGCTGGTGCGCACGTGTGGCATTACCAAAATGTTTTTATTTTTGTTTTAATCAAAAATAGTATTCATATTTCTTCCTGTTTTCAATCACAACACTTATTGGTGTATGGGGGGTGCGGTACAATCTTAGTCAGGAACTTCCTACCTTTGTATTGCTTCTGGAATACCGTCAATTCGTCTTTGCAGAGGTCACATTCACAACTTTCTGTCTGGCTGTCCGTTCCAGGGCAAGGTTTCCAGAGGCCAGCGGAACCGCTGGGCATGCCCTCTTGGGTTAGAAGAAGCTTTGAAGGGATTGGAGGAGGGGGCGAAATGTTGAGAAGGTGGAGAATAGGGATCATGTGTGTTCCTCGAATGTACAACCCACATTTGAGTGACAAATGACGAGGACAACCTGTAAAAACAACTAAGCACAAATCCACCCGAATCCATCTCGCTCCGGATGCGTGTGCTTTTTCCAACTAACTTTGGGAAGTCGCAGAGCCCCAGCGGTGCGGCCTGTGCCACCTCGCCTCTCCTCGCCTCCACTTTGGCATTTTAAGTGAGTACCGCCCTCAGCGGTTCCTCTTCTTTTTCCGGACTAAGGATGGAGGATCCCTCCATCTCCACAGCTCTGCCTCCCGCGCCCAACCTCTCCGTCCCCATCCTGCCGAGCTGGGGTCTCAACCTGACTTCGGAACGCGGAGCCTCTGTCGCGGTACCACAGCCGCAGCCACGAAGGCAACCCAGCCACCCGGTCCACCTGGTCTTCATGGGAATCATCCTGGTGGTCGCGGCGGCGGGCAACACCACGGTGCTATGCCGCCTGTGCGGCGGCTGCAGCCGGCCCTGGCCGGGTCCCAAGCGTCGCAAGATGGACTTCCTGCTGGTGCAGCTGGCAGCTGCCGACCTGTACGCGTGCGGGGCCACTGCGTTGTCGCAGCTGGCTTGGGAGCTGCTGGACGACCCGCGTCCAGCTCTGGGCGACCTGGTGTGCCGCTTGTCGCAGCTTCTGCAGGCATCCGGGCGGGGCGCCTCCGCCCACCTGGTGGCGCTCATCGCCCTGGAGCGCCAGCTCGCTGTGCGCCGTCCCCAGGGCCCGCAGCTGCCGGCGCGCGCCCTGGCTGCCCTGGGCTGGCTGCTGGCGCTGCTGCTGGCACTACCGCCGACTTTCGTGGTGCGCTGGGGCGCTCCTCCACCCACGGCCATCAGCGCCTGGCCGGCGGAGCCTCGCTGCCGGGGCATCTTCGCCCCACTGCCACGCTGGCACCTGCAGGTCTACGCCCTCTACGAAGCTATCGTGGGTTTTGCGGCGCCGGTCGCTATCATGGGTGTCTCTTGCGGCCACTTGCTGTGTGCCTGGTGGCAGCGCGGGACCCAGGCTCCGGTGGCTGGGGCACCCCGGTCGGCCAGTCCGGCCCGAGCCCCCTTGCCCAATGCACTACCCCGCGCTAAGGTGCAGAGCCTGAAAATGAGCCTGGCGCTGGCGCTGCTCTTCGTGGGCTGTGAGCTGCCCTACTTCGCCGCCCGCTTGGCGGCTGCCTGGTCGTCCGGGCCCGCGAGTGACTGGGAGGGAGAGGGTCTAGTGGTGGCGATGCGCGTCGTAGAGGTGGCCAGCAGCGCCCTCAACCCTTTCGTCTACCTCTTCTTCCAGGCGGGCGACTGCGGGCTCTGGCGGCGGCTACGGAGGCGCCTGGGCTTTGTGTGCTGCGTGCGGGAGGGAGAAGCGGAGATCCACGAGGGAGCTGGGGACCACCAGGCACTCCACCGCCACCGCTGGCCCCACCCCCATTATCACCATGCCCGGCGGGAAGAGAGGGACCAGGGCTGCCTACGCCCACCCCCGCCGCGCCCCAGACCGCCGCCCTGCTCCTGCGAAAGTGCCTTCTAGGAGCTGCTGCCTGGCCAGGTCATTGGTCCCTGTGGCACAGCCTCCAGGCAACACGGGGCAGGACGTAGAGGTCTGCCCAAACCACAAAGGGTGGAATTGTCCCCTGGATCTTCTGAAGCCGTCCGCTTCCTCCCTGCTGTCATAATTCCTTCTTACGAGGACGTGGATTTCACTTGTTTTCTCCCCAGTTCCTTTCTTATTCCCTGTTTGGAAAGCTTTAAAAGTTCATCCGAGTTCCAGAGTTATAACTTTTGCAATGTTCTTTTATACTCCATTGTGTTCTGGATAAGACCATTTATTTTAACTAAATTGCCAAATTTCTTTTCGTCGCCGTGTTGTTTTAGTTATTTTGAATTGTGCTTAAATCAAGTACATCTTTGGGGAGCAGCAAATTTGCTGTTCCTTCCAAGAGGAAAATCCCATGATGCTATTCCTGGGGAGATTAGGAGCCCTACTGTAGGAAAGTAATCATTTCCCATGCAGCGGCTACAACAGTTTCAACATGGTAATGCATTTTCTGGTAAGAACATCGGCGTGGCTTTGGTTTTCATCTAACTTCCACATCAATAAAAACTGAGTACAGGAGACGAACATAAAGCTTCCCTTAGTCCTTTCCAAGCATGCCTGTATTGTAGAGGACATGGTTGTTGGGCCCAGACCAGCTTCTAAGCCCGTCCACATTGAGCTTCTAAGGGCAAAGTCTTGAGCAAATTAGACAGGGAGAATGCTAAGGTGATGAACGCTGAGCGAGGGCAGGACTCACCGATTCAAGTGCTAAGGAGCTCTACAGAACAAAGCTCCAAGTGCTGCCTGTGCAGGTAGAACTGTTTAAAACAAACCCGGGCAGGTGTGGAGGCCCTGCCTGCAAATCCAGCGCTCTCCAGCAGGAGCACTGTCTCAAATCTGAGGCCAGTGCCGACTGCATAATGAGTCCTGGAGTAGTTTGAGCTATGCTGTTAGAATCTGTCTCAAGCAAAACAAACACAATGCCTCGCTTATTCATGCTGGTTGGCAAGAACTAAATCAGGGAACTAAGTCGATCCGTGGCCTCATCCTCTTAACTGACTTTGCCTCTGGGGAAAGTTGCTGCACTTACGAGCACTATACCCATGTGCTTAGCCAGCCCTCCACCGGAGAACTGACAGCTGTCACACATCTTGGTTTCTTGACAATAGCAAATGTACCACTAAGAGTCGGGGAGGGGGTGACTGATTAAAGCCCCTTCGTACACGTAATGCTCTCTGACGATGCTGTTCTGTTCCTGGTTATATGTACATTCTTCTACAACATGTGACACACAGGAGGCAATCAGTGCAGACTTGTTGCATAGCTTATCATGAGTGGGGTATAGGTAGGTTACAGAAAATATAAGACAAAGGAAATCTTCATTCAGTGTAATTGTTTTTTTTACACGCTTTACTCTTCTGCTCTCTTGGGGGGCCTGCCACTGAACTCCCAAATAAATCACACACAGAATCTTATTCTTTCTTATAAATGCCCGACCTTAGCTTGGTGTGTTTCCAGCCAGCTTTTCTTAACTTGAATTAACCCACCTGCCTTCTGCCTCTGGTCTTTTTCCTCTCCTTACTTCTGTGTGTCTTACTTTCACTCTGTGGCTGACTGTGTGACTGCATGGCTGGTCCCTAACGTCCTCCTCTCCTTGCTCTTCTTGTTCCTTCTCCCAGATTTCTCCTTCTAGTTATTCTATGCCTGCCAACCCTGCCCGTCCTTCCTCCTGCCTCATTAATGTTCAGCTCTTAATTAGACCATGAGGTGTTTTAGACAGGCAAAGAATCACAGCTTCACATATGTAAACAAATGAAGCACAAACAAAAGCAAAACATCTTTATATTGTTAAACAAATGTTCCAGAGCATAAAGAAATGTAACACACTTTAAAATAATAGTCTACAACAATTTGAGGTGGCTTACATTCCTCTAGAATTCTTTTTCTTAGTGGATACAGGAGTTCAGCCTATGGTAGGTCCTAACTGAATGATCTTGGGTCTGTCCTCCTTTGCAATATTTGGACATTTGGAGGCCTGGTGCTAGCATCATCCAGCTATCCCAAAGAGGCTAGCCTACCCAGCTGACAGCCACCCAGAAATGGCAGGTGCAGGGCGGCTACTCAAAGTGCATCCATCCTGCTCACTCAACCCAGCAATAACCCAAAGGTGTTTTTCCATTAGAACTTAGTAAGTGCTTCAACTAGCAACAATGGATCCAACATCATCTGCCCTACGCCCTTGCCCCTACAGGTCCCTTGCTATAACCAAAAGAAGTCTGTCTAAGGAAGGTCTGCTCTCACCAATGCCCACAGGCTGTCTTCACCTTCTTGGTGACCTGCTGATGGAAATCAGACAACCATTGTCTTACATGAGGACATGGATACTTCTACCTAAATTTGGGGTGAATCTGGCTGTGAATGTTTGATTCTCAATCTTCAACTCTTTCCCACTGGAGGTCAGCTATGAAAAGCATGTGGCATTGTGGCCGAATTGACCCTCTAGTGTGTTTCTCAAGTCCCCTCTGGGCCTCAGTGCTCTGTTCAGAATGCCAGAAGTGGGAATGTTACTGTAATCTTGCTCTGTCCTCCCTCAGTTTCCTAGTCAATGTGACCCATGCAAAAGAGTTCAAGTGAGACACACAGCGCAGGACAGAGACACAAGGCAAGGAAAAGTGGACTGGTCTCAAGATGTGAAAGAGGGCAGCGACCACCGTGAAAGAAAACACTCTGAGGATAAGCGATTGGCATCGAGAAGGGAAAGCTCTCAGGGGTGAGAGCAGACAGCGGACACGAAGACCGTTCTTCCAACCTGCGTTTTAAGGCACACTTTATACAACATCTTAAAGTTTCTGAAACAGACTACATCCTGAAGCGTATCTTCTTGTCCAGATGATAGACAGGCCCTTGAGAATACCTCTTGAGGGACAGGACAATGACTAAAGGAAGGGAACGGAACAATACCATGGCTGTTGTTTTGTTTTTGTTTTTACTAGATAATAATCTTGTAAGCTTCCTGGCAGTCTAAAATGCCATTTCTCCACCAGAGACCACAGAGAAAACTCAGATCTCATTATTGTGAGCAATAATCAAAGCCCCGCATTTCCTGCTCCTGCTTTTACAAGCTGCTGACTGAAAAGGAAGGGTCAGCCCTCAAGAGCTTCCAAGTCTGCTCACATCTGGCTAGCAATGAGACAGCAGGACGTGACGGGCGGGAGGCGTGATGTGAGGGAGACGTGACGGGAGGGAGGCGTGATGTGAGGGATACGTGACGTGCGGGAGGCGTGATGTGAGGGAGACTTGGCCTGAGGGAGACATGACGTGAGGGAGGCGTGACATGATGGAGACGTGACGGGAGGGAGGCGTGACGTGCGGGAGGAGTGACGTGCGGGAGGTGTGACAGGAGGGAGACGTGACATGAGGGAGGCGGGACATGATGGAGACGTGACGGGAGGGAGGCGTGATGTGAGAGATACATGACGTGAAGGAGACGTGATGTGAGGGAGGCGTGACATGTGATGTGAGGGATACGTGACGTGCGGGAAGGCGTGATGTGAGGGAGACTTGGCCTGAGGGAGACGTGACGTGAGGGAGACGTGACATGAGGGAGACGTGACGTGAGGGAGGCGTGACGGGAGGGAGGCGTGACGGGAGGGAGGCGTGACGTGATGGAGGCGTGACGGGATGGAGGCGTGACGTGATGGAGGCGTGACGTGATGGAGGCGTGACGGGATGGAGGCGGGACATGATGGAGGCGTGACGTGAGGGAGACGTGACGGGATGGAGGCGGGACATGATGGAGGCGTGACGTGAGGGAGACGTGACGTGAGGGAGGCGTGACGGGATGGAGGCGGGACATGATGGAGACGTGACGTGAGGGAGGCGTGACGGGATGGAGGCGTGACGTGATGGAGGCGTGACGTGAGGGAGGCGTGACGGGAGGGAGGCGTGACGGGCGGGAGGCGTGACGGGCGGGAGGCGTGACGGGATGGAGGCGTGACGTGAGGGAGGCGTGACGTGAGGGAGGCGTGACGTGATGGAGGCGTGACGGGATGGAGGCGTGACGGGCGGGAGGCGTGACGGGATGGAGGCGTGACGGGATGGAGGCGTGACGGGATGGAGGCGTGACGAGAGGGAGGCGTGACGGGATGGAGGCGTGACGGGATGGAGGCGTGACGAGAGGGAGGCGTGACGGGATGGAGGCGTGACGGGATGGAGGCGTGACGGGATGGAGGCGTGACGGGATGGAGGCGTGACGGGAGGGAGGCGTGACGGGCGGGAGGCGTGACGGGAGGGAGGCGTGACGGGCGGGAGCCAGGTTACTGTGCACCAGCGCACAGACTCCTTCCTTGCAGCCCCTTCCTGGCCTGCAGTGACCAGCTTCCCTACTGAGTGCTGTGCTGGGGGAGTGGAAACCCAGAAGGCTGTGGCCCTGGTTGAGGCCAAAGGAGCCCTGGACAGTCCTCCACAGTGGACAGTCACTGTTACAGGGCTGCAGATTGTCCTTCCTCTCTGCTCTTCCCACCCAGATGAGGATGGCATGGTATGAAAAACACCAGGACTAGATCAGCCAAAGACAGAACGCTACCTTCTTCACAAACCCAAGCATTACTTTTGTATTTATTAATAAATATTTATTAACTAATTATTCTATGGAAAAACTAAAATGAACAACACACTTTTGCCTCAACGAGACAATATGGTAGATGTAGGAGGCAATCTCACAATTTCACTGCAATGCCACGTTTTAATAGGGGGTCAGTCAGAAGATACTGGGAGCACTGAAGGGGATCATCTGGCAACCCTGGGAGTCTGGGTGGTTGGATGTGTTCATCATTCTTTTTGTTACTATGGTTTTCACCAATGGTTTGTGATTTAGGGGACTTCAGTACGCCACAGCACGGATGATGAGGTGGCGGTGTTTAAAGCCATGGCAGTAGGAGATTGAAGCAGGAGACTTACTCAGATCAAGAAGCAAGTAGGTGAATGCAGAGCCATGGCTGACTTTGCTCATCTAGGCCTCTGTCCCAAGGGCTGCCCACCCTTCCTAAAACAGCACCCCCTCAACAGTGGCTCAGGAGAGTCTCACCTGGGTGGGGGCAGATCAGTGTTGGTTGATCTGGGTGCAATGTGAAATGTCCCTCACTGTCTCATGTGTTTGAATACTGGGCCCCCAGCTGGTGCTTGGGGGAAGTCATGGAAACTTTAGAAAGAAGGCTCTAGCTGGAGGAAGTGGGATACTGGGCGACAGACCACGAGGGTTATAGTTGTGTGTCTTCCCTGTTCTCTAACCGCCAATCAAATGCAGCCAGCCACTTCACGCTTCTGCTGTCCAGCTGTGAGGTACTCTCACTCCCATGATTTTCACCATGCCTTCCCAACCATGAGCCACAACAAACATTTGCTTCCTTGTTTCTGCCTTGTATTCTGACACAGAAATGAGAAAAGTAACTAGTACAGCAAAGTGTTCCAGACCATGGGAGTAGCCCTGCTGAAGCATGGAGAAGACAGAGTTGAACACGGCCAACATTGACAGCAGTTGCAATGTGTTACGATGCCAATGTGGACTCTGTGACCAAAGGAGATCC